CAGCAGGCTGAGGGTGGGCAAGATCTTGGGAGGGGACACAGCCAGGGCAGCTGACCCACACTGACCAAAGGGATGTTCCATAACGTATGATGTCTGCTCAGCAATAAAAAGCTGAGAGAAAGAAGAAGGAAATGGGGGCATTTGTTACTTACGGCATTTGTCTTCTGGAGCAACCACTATGTGTACTGAAGCCCTGCTTATGTGGAAGTGGCTGGACGTCATCTGCTGATGGGAAGTAGAGAATGAATCTTTTGTTTTTTTCCCTTTGCTTCCATGTGCGGCCTTTTGCTTTTGCTTTATTCAACTGCCTTTATCTTGGCCCACAAGGGTTTTTTTCCATCTTATTTTTCTCCCTTCCCTGTGCTGCTGAGGAGGGGAGTGATAGAGCGGCTTGGTGGGCACGTGGCGTCCAGCCAAGGTCAACCTACCACAGGGATTTGAATAGCTGCATAGTATGGCACAGGTTTGTGTTTTAATACTTTGATACATGATACGGCACCACAGTAATCCATTAAACGTGGTGGTGTGGAGTCTTGACACTGAAGTTCACTTGTTTTCTTTTGCTGGACACACTGAAAGAAAATACTGAGGTCATCTGAAATAAAAACAATGACTAGATCATACAGGATGAGAAACTTAAAATTTGTTTCTGATTAATGCTGGCAATTATTACTGCATTTGTTACAAGGCAGATATCAGCCTTTGGTCAAAACCAGCCTTTTGCATTCACTGAAATAGTCAGTGGCGCTAGTGCAGTGTAAACTGAGCAGTATTTGGCTCCGGCATTCAAGCACAAGCTACTCTTTCACAACCACCCCCTTCTGTTTCCGCCTTTTCCTTCTGAGCAGAAAATCTTTCTGGGCATTTTATTCTACTCTCCCAAATGTTGTTAGAATGTGCCAAGTACAGGGCTCTGGTTTCCTTTTGTAGTGCAAGAATTTAGCAGTGAAAATTTCTGTATGTTTATGGAAACACAGATGCAGCTTTTAAAACACTTGGTAGTGCTTACATAAAGATATAGAAACATCTGAAAAATGTTTATTTTTCTGTACATTATTTCAACTCCAATTAATTTACATTTCCTGCTGGGAAAATAATATTGATCATAAAAATGAAATGCTAGTTGGAAATCCTTAGGCTTCTGTAATAGAATATTTCATTCAGGATGAAATGTGAGAATTATGGGTTTGAGTCTGCTGCTGCTGAAGCCAGTGGCTAAATGCCCAGTTACCTTCAATTGGAGCAGGATAGAGTCATCTCTTTTGCAGAAGGATATCTTGAACAGTCAATAATCCTTAATCTCTGATTTAAAGCACTTCCATTTGGTAAAATTTTAGTACTGTTTCAAGCCTGGAGCCATTTGGCTGAAATTGCATTTGATATACTTTCTGGAAGTCTGTTTTCTGAGTCTGCTTAGGAGTCTGTTTCTATATTCTTAAATAGAAAAGAATATAATTATTGCAGCCACATCTCAGGATTGTTTGCCTATCGTGTTTGAAAACAAAAAAGGTGTGTGTGACAAGATGCTGTTTCTACAAAGTGGGCTCCATGTGGAACACGTTCCCTTAGTGCAGTCAGGTGTGTTTGAGACATATATAAAAGGCCCCAAATTCCTGGAAAATAATGTTTTGACCATTCGAGATGTGGGTGGTTTTTTTTGGTTTTGTTTTCTTTTTTTTTTAAAGAGACAACATGAATTACCAGCTCATAAAGACAGCGTGTTTATTAGCTTGGATGCTGAGCTCTGAGAAGATGCTAAAAGCATGCTACTTAACTTGAGTAGTGTGACAAAAAAAGTGAAACTTGAATCTTTGTGGAGGTTCACCCATCTAAAACATAATAAATTGGTCACAGGATCTTTTTAAAAATGTGATAAAAAGAAAAACAATGTTATGGAAATTCAGACTTTTATAATCTACTTAGTTTTCCTCTTCAAGGTTTTTGCTGCAACCAAGAGGACACAAATTTATTTTTCAATAAAGAAGAGCTTGGGATTCTCATAAGAATTCCTGAAGTCAGACAGTTATAAGTAGAAGATTAAGTATCACAGGATTTGGAGTAAAATCATGAGGGATGGGACTAGTGTATATATCCAACAGTGGCTTCCAAAACCTGAAGACATCTCCCTCAGAAAATGTGTATGTTTGGGGCTAGATTTAAGCTGCTGATTGTGAAATAGTTGTTCATATTAATTTCCAGTAATAGTCGTGATAAGTTCCAGGGCAGAATTTAGCTCAGCAAGTTCAGATTGAAATGGTAAGTGATAACAAAAAAAATATTGAGAAAATGGTAAATAATTGCAAGGTGTGTTATTTCATGAAATATAACCTGGCTAAGTCCTGAACTCTTTGCTGGAGCCTTACACAGGTAAATTGCTGTTGTAGTGAAGGCTCTTTTCCCTCCCTTCCTTCTGACCCCTCTGCTTTGCCTTTCTGTTTCAGAAACTGTGCCTGAGGCCCAACACAGATTTGTTGGGACTAGGGGTAGGCTGTCACGTATTTTCCAGAGGATGTTGTCTTCCTCAGCCTCCACAAAGTGTCCTGTGGAGACTGTAAAACTATGTGTAGAGGAGAATAGACCTGCTTCAAATAGGGATCAGTTGTTAGACCCATCACCCAGCCCCCTAAAGACCTGGTAAAAGAAGTGATGTGAAGTTCTGCTTTTGCTTTTCACAGAATCTCTGGAAGAGATCGTTGTAAAGTCATGGAAGTACTACTATCACATATCTGTGCAAAAGAAATAGGGCTGATGGAGTTACCAACAGGCAGCTTTTGCACAGCTCTGGTTCTAGCAGAGACCTGAGAGGCAGGGCAGAGCAGAGCAAGAAAAGGAGTTAGTGAGTTCTCTTGCTCTGCTGTTTCTTCTTCCTGTAATGAACGGAAGTATCAACATCTGTGCTCTGTGATAGATATTAATCTCCTATGAAGTTTTCTCAGATCTTGTCCTCTTTTCCATAGAAACAAACCACCTTTGACATACATGGAGATGGTAGCATCTCCAGGAGATGGCAAGGCTGAGATTTTGTTTGTTTGTTTGTTAAGGCAGCTATTTATGCACCAACTAACTCACTCTTAATCCGAAAATAGTTCCTGTTTTGTCTACCCAAAGACCTGGTGGCTTCCAATTCCTTGTTAATACCTGGTGTTTTAAGTCTTGTAAAGTTGACCTACTAGCTTGTGTTTTCAGAGAGAAACCTCTAAGACTTTTTCAAAACTGCAATTTCTGTACAGTGCCTCTGCTGTGGTGTGCTGGGAAGCATGATGAGAATTGACATTTCTGATGTCTGGGATTTTCCCTCTTTACCTGTTGAAGATGGAATACTGTTTACCTGCCAGTTCTGTATCTGTCCCACAAGAACATTCAGGCCTGTCCTGTAACAATGTGCTGAAGGGTACTCTGTGCAGTGAATTTCAGTATATTACCCCTTTGGATTAAAAATAGAAGTAATTTCAGAAGTGCAGAGGGTAGGGGTCTCGTTTTTGCTATCAGTGCTATGGGAAGCCTGAGGTTCTACCTCATGTTAGAATTTGATCTTGTTTATCATATCTCTCCTGATAAGCGAAAGTAAACTGAATAGCTTCTCTGAGTCATCAGTAAATAAAAGCTCATGAGATTGACAGGGTTTTGTTCAATCAATGGACCTCAAAGTCACCTTCCTAGGCAGCATTGTTGTTCTTTTATATTCTCCTGTGCATGAAGAACTGTAATTATGATAAGTATGATGAATGTGTCAGACTGCAGTGTCTGGCAGGCTTCTGGAAATTCACTTGTTTGTTTAGACCTGTGAAAAAGGTACCTTTCTTCTGTACATTATAACTGGAGCAAAAAGTAAAGCAGAAGGTAAAGTTGATTTGGGCATAGAACTTTCTCCTCGTACATCTTACCCTTCCACCATCCTCACTGTAGCACTGGCTGAAGAAGACACTCCAAGGCAATGCTGCCTGGCTTCATAGATTTTAGCTGTTCTAGGGTGAGATCAGCGGACAAGCGCTGTCTGTAACCCAGATAATTTGGATACAGTAGTTACCGCCTCTCCTTTGAGAGTTATACCGTTTCAAATGTCTGTTCCCTTGGTATCTCCAAATGTCTCACTTTCGTCTTTATCCTCACGTTGATTAAAACTGGAGTCCTGATCTTGCCGTATGAAATCAATACATGAAATAGATCCGTGATTGCTGCTGTTGGCCAGTGTCTTATAAGCATCTTGGATGTGCATTCAGAAGTAACGTAAAGAAGGAAGTAGCAATGTGTTTATGGAACACATCAGGAGAGTATGTCTCATGGATAGGTGAGGGAGAAGAGGCATCATTGTTGAAGTGCATAAACTGGATAATCTGCACAGCAAATTACTGTAACTAGTGACTGAGGGCACTTAATAGGATAAGGCCAGAGGGGAGAGAAGTACAGGTATGCGATATTGACAGCAGTCTCAAAAGGTTTTATGTTCATGGAGTGTGGGTCAGTAAAACACTTTGCAAAGGATGCAGAAGACCCAGAGAAAGAGGACTGGCTGGTGGGAAGGATCAGCATAAAGATATGGGAAATGAAGCTGGAAATTAATTCACGAAAAAAGAGGAGCAGGAGAGATGATGTGGAGAGAAACGTTTTCAGCTAAGAAAAATGCCTGCTGTCTTGCACTTTATTTCTGTTTATCCAGCTGCATCATGTTCTAGGCTAGAACTGTATTTTCCTGTGTGTTTGGAAGGTGCCTTGCATGCTTTTTTATGCTACAGAAAACATTAGATACCATACAGTAGGCTATTATTACTTACATAATAGCAATCTAGGTTTGAAGTAACACACTGAGTTTTTTTTGTCTGTAAAGATTCTTACACCAAAATCTTGGATTTTTGTACATGTGAAAAGTCCGTGTGAATTTTTCCTTAAGTTGACTAAATCGTCAGCAATGAAAGAGTATTTGTTTAGTTAATGATTTAGTTGTCCAGGCCTTGCTCTAATGGTGAGTTATTTACCTTACAGTTGGCATTTGCAAACAGGAGATGCTCCAGAAGAAGAAAAATGCTGTTTTGGTGGATGGGGTCATCCTAAATGGTCCAATAATGGACTCAAAAGCAGGAGAGAAGTTTGTGGAAGAGGCCTGTAAGATTATAATGGAAGAAGTCATCCGGAAAGCTGATGATGTAACAGAAAAGGTAAAGCCTTTGTTGAGAATTTGTAACAGAGATAATGAACAGTGAATCATTTTTTTTTTCTAAGCTGTATTTTATTGCACTTTAAGTAGCCTCAGAATTGCTTCTAGTCTGTGCCTGGCTCTGAAATAAAAAGACAGCCTTCCAAATTAAGAGAGATCATATTATAAAACCTTTCAATAACGTAATTAGCATACGTATTTGCCAGAATATAATGAGTTTTTTCATCTCAGAATACAATGGTCACTTTCTTTGAGATGACAAATGGGTGCACTGTTTTTCCTGTTCGGGGTGGGGGACTTATTTGTTTGCTCCTCTGGGGCACTGGTTATCAGAGAAGGAGGAACAGTGGATGTGGTACCACTGTGGGGGAGGAACATTATGATATTGCTCTGTGTTTCACAGAACCCCTGCTTAAGAGGGTGTATGGGAAGAGGAGCTGAAAATGCAGCATGTTTGCCTTTGGTCATGCACTGATTGCTCCCAGCCATTGGCAGAACAGCATCTGAAAATGGTATAATTGCAAATCCTTAGCTAAGGACAGAACTTTACCTGCAGGCCTCTTGCTCCTAGCTAGGACACACGAGCCATGAAAAAGGCAGTTTGGTTTTCAGACTTGAGGCTAGCTTTTTACACCCCTGCATTCCAACAGGCACACCTTATTCTCTTCTAAATCTATTCTTCCTTCCAGCTTTTCCCACTCTAGTTTTTATGGTCAAGGAATACCTGAGACACAATAAACCCAAGATCCCACAAGACCAGTTTACCAGAGATACTTTCTAGTGGCATGCTGCACTGCAATGGGCAGTTGAGTGAAACCGGTGCTGAATGTGGTGCTTACCTAGTACCTTTATAACCTCTTCCTCTTGGCAAACCTGTTCACTGCTGGTGTCTCCTTCCTCCCCATCGTTAGGTTTGTGAATGGCGGGCCCCTGAAGCACTGAAGCAGATTCTTGATCTGGAAATGAGGGACACCGGAGAATCTCATCAGAAACTCTTGCAACTCTGCCGGGATGTTATACAATACAGCGTCAAAACCAGTAGGAATGGGATTTCTAGTGAAGTTATTTTATATGCTAACCTAGGAAGATGGGATAATGTTTACAAAGTTCTGTCACCTTTCAGGGAACTAGGGGTTTGAATGTTTGTTTTCTGCCTGCCTATACAAGTACGCAAACGTTTGGCTGTGTTTCCATTGTTTGACTGGATGCTAGTCACCATAGGTTTGACTAAAATGTATAATTGTGGCAAACTAAAGGAAAACTAATTCCTGTAATGCCATGGACATTAGTGGTATATTTTGTTATTTTGAAGTCTTATGAAAGTCACCTAGATGAGTATGATATAACAGTCTAGCAAAACAGGCAGGAGAAAGACCTCTGCCTGTGATTTCCTGCTGTCTGAGTGATGAGGAGTGGAGTTGCCATCATTGCCCTCATATATTCTTAGTGATGATTACCCTACATTTACTATTGCTCTTTTTGAGCAATAGTCTTACAGGGTGTTAATTTGCTGATAGGCAGCAATTCCTGTTCCAGACACTGTGAGAAGAGAGCCTGCAGTGTTTCAGAGACAGTACACCACATCTCTGTAGGATTAGCTCTCTACAGCTAACCTTTCTGCAGCATGTGTAGTACAATTCAATCTTAGTGAAAAGGGATGAATAACATCTGTTCAGGAAATAGTGCTGTGGATCAGTAGCTCAGGATTTCAGATGTGGCGTAGCTTAGGCTGTGTTTTGGAAAGTGAGAAGGACGTTTGGTACAGTTAGTTATGCATTTCCAGGGGATGTTCCCTGCTACGGTCACTACGGCTATGAAGTAAAACCGTTAAATAATTTTGAGAGTGAATGTGTGCCTTTGAAAACCGTAGAAAAGTAGCAATACTGATCTGCAGGGGAAGTGCACTAATAATATGCAGATATAATTACTGAGTTACTGGAAGGTGTTCTGTTTATCTTATTTTTACAAATTGCCTTTAGATTTTCATTTTTTACACTATGTTCCCCTTAGAAAGGATATTGTAAATAAAAATATGCTGTACAAATAATCTTTAATTTAAGTAGAAATGCTTATTGAAGCCCCCCAGATATAATATAAAGGGAGCCATACAGTTTACCTGGTTTTGCATGTGAAAGTATTATGTTGTGAGTTAAAATTTAGGTGGTGATCCCACTGCAGAACTGACTTGTTTTTATAGTCAGCAGTAGTATTAGAATTTTCTCATAATTAGTTATATCTCAGTGTTTCAAGGCAGGTAAACAAATTCTTTTGTCATTTTAACTCTATAGCAGGTTTTTCCAGGCTGTTATACCACCTCTCTCTCTCAATACCAATACTCTGGTGGGAGCACAGGCACAGCTGCCTAGGATCAGCAGGTTCTTGTATTCTACTGCTTAGCAAAATTTGGCCGAGCATCCATTGTGGCCTCTGAAGACCACTATTAAAAGCCACTGTGTATACGTAATTGTCAATCCCTTTTTTTCCTCTTTTTCTTTTTTTCCTCTTTTTCTTTTTTTCCTCTTTTTCTTTTTTTCCTCTTTTTCTTTTTTTCCTCTTTTTCTTTTTTTCCTCTTTTTCTTTTTTTCCTCTTTTTTCTTTTTTTCCTCTTTTTTCTTTTTTTCCTCTTTTTTCTTTTTTTCCTCTTTTTTCTTTTTTTTTTAGTTGTAAAACTTGTGAACAACCCACATTCATTCTGTGCACTACTTACATCTCTCAAACCTTGTTTGGGACCTGAAAGTGCTTATTAAATTTACTTTCAAAAGATTGTGTAACCTAGGAAAAGGACAGTAAGTCCAGAAAATACTGAGAGAATGATGGAGTGAATTGTGGTTTGCAGTGATCAGTGTTCAACTGAGAGGGCCTGTGATATATCCTCTTTGCATGTATATCCTGTCACTGCTTACTTTTCATCTGTATTTTCAGGTCATCCAAGATTTTTCAATCAGCTGTATGCTGGAATAGATTATTCCTCGTTAGTGGCTCGTTTCATTACAGAAGCACTGAACCCAAGTGTGTAAGTGTAGTCCTTTGTCCTCTCGTTGATGAATTAGCATGCTTTTCAGCATAACAGTGTTTTTTGCTCCCTCTGCCCTTCTGATTTCTGTTTTCAGTGTTACAGAGGAGGTAGGAATTGTGCAGGAATTTGGGAGAGAAAAGAGTCTGGATTGGCTGAATAGCTCACCATAAGGTTGGATAATCTGATGAGGCGTTTTTTTTCTAGTTTGTGAGGTGGGGCTTAAGAGGAGAGATCTTTGTTTTTCAATGCTTTTAAACTTAGACTTTTATCTTACTGAGTGCATAAAAATGAATTAATCAGACTTACTCAGTTGTTCATTTCCTTTGAAGCATTCTGCACACAGTTGAAGGCAAATGGTTACCTGTTTACTTGCAAATGTAAAGCCCAAACAAAAAGTAATTTTTGCTTGCAGTAAATCATTATAGCTGAAATTTAATCCTGTGACCTACATTAAAAGCAAACTGGAAGTGTCAATGTGATGCTGTTAGGAACTAAGCAGTTGCTCTACTGGGTCAGATCTGTAGTGTTTTAGTTTAGAGTTCTACTGCTGATGGTGGTCAGCTTCTGATAGATTAGAGAAAGGTGCAAGAAACCTTTATCTAGTTCTAGCAGTATTCTGTGACATGAGTTCTGTAGTCTTAATACCAATCATGATGCCTTCATTTTTGTTCAGATATACATATGAAGTATCCCCTGTGTTTCTGTTGGTGGAAGAAGCAGTCATCAAGAAAATGATTGAGTTTATAGGCTGGGAAGAAGGTGATGGTATATTCAATCCAGGTAAGAACAGTTCAAATTTCAAGTTGAGTCATTATAAAACAGCTAACACCAGTAATTCCATGAACATTGGATTCGTGTAGAATATTTGAAAATGCATGCAAAAATCCAGTGATGCACACGCATAACTATTTAATCCAGGCTTATCTTACGTGTTTCTAGTAATAATTCTGTGAACCTGATCAGTGAATGAATGAAAACAGTTCTACATTAAATATAATTATGTGGAAATTAATTGTTTGTAACCGATGCCCTTCCTGACGTTACTAACAGCAATACCAACAGCCTCATGGGACTGAGTCAAATTGGTTGACAGACAGGGACCTGATTTATGTGCTAGACACCAGCCGGTGGTGCCTGAGAGCACTGATCTGTGTATGCTTCTATCAGCTGTGGGAGCCAGACTTTATCTTAGTGGGAGTGTCATAAGCTTAACGGCTTTCAGTTTTGATCGTTTTTGTAAATGTTATGATAAGGCAAACCAAAAAAATACTTAAGCTTCTTGAGAAGCCACAGTTTTCCAATGTTCTGTAAAGCAGCGTTCCAGCCCACTGTACTGAAATAATAAAGCATACTGATATTATTCCACAGATTATTTGGCTAACAAATTATTATGCCAGATGTGAAGCTTTTCTGTCTAATTTGGGGGTCAGAAGAGAAATAAAATTAGTAAATGGATTTAAACCCCACCTCCAAAACCAAACCAAAGTCAGTAATTCTACATGTAAGTAGTAGAAAAATAAATAAAAATAAATATTTTTTTAAAACATATTAATGGTCTGGATTTTTTTAATGTCAGATTTGATGTGTATTTTCAGTAGAATCTGTTCTTTTATGGCAGAATTGCTTAATTAAAACTTACTGAGATACTGTCAAAAGAGAAATGAATTGTACTTTTTTATGCTAGTTTTATGTAAGGGTTTTTCTTACTATTTTGGTTTTGTTCTTTTAAGTGAGTAAAACCCATCCAGGTCTCACCTTGCAGATCTTCCAGTTCCCACTCACTCTGGATTTTTTTTTTTCTAATGGATTTTTTTCTCTGAGGCCTGGTTGCCCAAGAGATCTCCAAGACTCTGTACAGTGCAACCACAGCGGAGCTCAGTGCGGGCAGCTGAGCTGGCACTGCTTCAGTGTAAATGGGAAGGAGCTGTTGCAGGGTATCCTCTCTTGGGGAGGATTGTTTGGGCACAGTTCTCCAGGAAATACAGAATCGTAGGATGGTTTGGGTTGGAAGGGACCTTAAAGATCATCTAGTTCCAACCCCCCCTGCCACGGGCAGGGACACCCTCCACTAGACCAGGTTGCCCAAAGCCCCATCCAACCTGGCCTTGAACACTTCCAGGGATGAGGCATCCACAACCTCTCTGGGCAACCTGTTCCAGTGCCTCACCACCCTCACAGTAAAGAATTTCTTCCCCAAAGAGCATTCAAACACGCTGTTTCCATACATGCTGCAGAGCCCAAAGTTCATTTTATGTTTGTAGGCTTTTGAGGAGGAAATAAGCTATGATGGATGCATCTATAGGGTAACTGTAAGGTTTATTTTTTCCCTAATAGATCAAGTGCTCAGACACAGGACAGGTGCTAGGACTGTGGCTAACGCAATATCTATATGCCTTTTTCTCCAGGTGGCTCTGTTTCTAATATGTATGCTATGAACTTAGCAAGATACAAATTTTGTCCTGAGATAAAGGAAAAAGGCCTTTCGGGTTTGCCAAGACTAGTCCTGTTCACTTCGGAAGAGGTAAAAACAAAACAAAAAAAGCTTTTGTTTTCATTATAGAATTTCTAAAAACGAACTTTTATTTTTCAATGGTTGCAAAATTGTATCATTTGCATATCTGATGGGGCACTGGTGTGATAAATTTGTCATCAGGGTATGATGTGAAATTTTGGAGCTATTTGGAGAAGTCTGATGGTAAATTTCCCTGCAGAAGCTTCCTTCCTTTCAGAACGCAAACACAGATGTTTCTGCTCTTGGAAATCGCTGATACAAGAATAGGTTGTACGTGGGGCCAACCTGAAGCAGAATGTGGGTGGGAGGTTGTGGAGGTCTGCAGCATTTGATTTCCCACAGCATAAAGTCTAGCAGGAACCATAGATAGTTTTGTATGTCAAAGTTTTTTTCCTGCCAGTTTAATTTGTACTAAGCTGAGCATTTGTACCTGTGAGACAGCTCTCTGCAGCTCCCACTCCTCCCTGTATCAGAATACATACTGGCTGTGGTACAGAACCGAAACCACTGTCAAGCATTTTGGAAAAACCTGCTGGATCTTTAGACAGTTCTTCTTTAAATAATTGAAAATATGTGGCTAGTGTTAAAGTTTGTGAATATTATCTGTACAAACTGCCTGTGGGAAATTGAGTTATATTCATACATTTATTCTGAAGCTATTTTTTGAGGCTTTTTCTCTCACGTATTCCTCCAATTTTAAGAGTTTATAATTTCATTAGTACAGAATTGTTATTAATTCTGACTCCACTATATAAAGGCCCCAGTGGAACTAAGAACCTTATTGTACTAGGGAATATGTAGTTACTAGAATAATTTTAGCTCTTAAGTTTATGCTCCAAACAGTTTGCAGTGTAAATAGACGAGAGGCTTATTTTGAAGAGGCCCAAGGGATGAAGGCATTGCATAAGTTGTCCAAGGCAGCACATATATTTTGGAACTGAATCCAAATGTCCTAAATAAAGGGATTTTTTTTTTCCCAGGCAAAATATATTTAGGTTTTTTTCTTTCTGAAAAGTGTGTATATGAAATGACATGCCAGCTCATACTTAATCCATCACGTTACATCTTAAAAATAGCTAAGGAGGAAAAAATGAAGTTGAAACATGTTCCGTTAATGCTTTTGAAGAGAAGCACATAGAATTTTTATAATGAAGTAACATTTTATTTCATTGCAAGATTTAACTAAAATGTATACTCTTGTACTCTAAAATAAACATGCATTTAATTTCATAACAAAATAACTTTTATTTAATGCCCAGAGCAAATTTGTTTTGATATCTTTGCTTCTCTAGAAAGACCAAAGCCATAAAACACAGAACAGAACAGGAAAAATAAATTGATAAATTATTTGTAAGGCAGTGCTCTTGATCTCCAATACTTTGCTTGATTTACAAAACCGTGTGGTCTTTAGTGCTAGTGCTGAATGATCACTTGCTGCAGAACTGCCACTTTTAGTGGTTAGATATTGTGGCTATTGTCTAAGATCTCTAGTGTTTATTCATGGTTATGAGCAACAAGATGTGCATATTCATATATCCTTATTTTCGATACACCTGTACTGAGTCCAAGTTATCTTTTAGAATTGTATTTAGTTCAGATATGTCATATTGAGAATATATTTAATAAATGGCCCACACTGAAGATAAGTACGTAAGTGCTTGCATCGTACACTCTTAAATTTTTATTATTTGTTTTTATTTTGAACCTTCATTTATTTAGCTTTTTGTGCCTTTTTTTTTTTTTTTTTTTTTACTGAAGAGGGACCTGAAGAAGCAAATGATTTAAAAAGTGATGCTGGAGAAGTTAACAGCCTGTGTTTATCTTTGACGTGAATCGGGCAAACAGTGTTGGCATGGAGAAGCCATGAGGCTAAAGTGAACTGAGAGTATTGATAAGGAGTCAAAACACACAGCTGCTTAAGGCATTTTTGTCATTTTAGGGCTTGGCTTCAACACTGTGTTCAAATGAAATTATATTTGCCTTGAGCTGCCAAGTCTCAAAGTTTCAGTCTGGCACTTGGCAGACTGAAAGAGTTGCCCTGCTGTAGAGCAGGGGAATGCACAGACTTGTCAGTGACTTAATTTTCTGTGATCTGGGGCTATGTATTTTTTGTATGTTCTTGGATAACGTGAAGGTGTATGTTTAATGCGTGGCCCACCCAAGGTCCTCATGCTGCGTTTGGCCTTCAGGAACAAAAAGGCTTCTTGTTCCTACAAGTAAAATGCTTAGCCATTTCAAATCATGGTGATACACAATGAACACTGTTTATGCTCCTACTACGTAGTTCTCTCACTGGACAATTACAGAGTGATTCCTCTTGAGACAGTAGCAGTAGTAGAGAAATTGTTAGATCTCACTTTCTTGAGGCATGATTTGTGGCTCTGATTTGTATGAGCTGAATGCAGTTGTAGTTATAGATGTCAGCCCAACTTTTTATCACTTTTTGCTATTTGAATCCCATCTGAACTTTATTCTGACCCAAGAATGTATTGCATTGATCTGAAGGGTAGAAATCTGCTAAATTTGAGGTAACTGAGGGTAGAGGAGAATGTGTAAGCAATCGAAATGTGCATGCTGATATGAGCAGTTTTTTAGATGCAATGAAACTAAATTCCTCCCCAGTGCAACTTGATCATGAAAGTAATAAAGTGAGAGAACACAACATTAACTCACCACGTTGTCCCCTGTTGAAATTACAACAGACAAAAATGAGTAATAAAACAATCTCATAATAATGTAATTGCTTTATGCAATCATGTTTCTAGGAAACTTTTCAAAATCAAGAAAATAGAAATTCATCTTCTGTTTTAATGAGCACAGGGGAAAAGTACCTTGTCTTTGCAAACATTATTAGGAAACAAAAACTGTGTCTAGCTATAGTTAAAATAGTAGAGCAGCACATCCTAAATGCACTGTTCCAATTTGATCTTGTGCTCAAAGGCATTAATTTCTTACTACAAATGGCTACAGATTTAATAATGTGTCCAAACAAACAAAACTGCAAAAGACATGGCAAGAGTAATCTGAATTCACAATATTTAAAATTATTCTTTAAAATTATGTATATAATCTAGATACAAATAATACCTTTTATCTGGATATTTCTTTCCCTTTTTTTGGAAGGGGAACTATGAACAAGTGTATTAGTTGACACTGTTGTGAGTGGAGCTGCTAAATGTTCTCTGGTATATTTTTTCTTAAAATGATGCAGTCTAATTTACCATAATGGCTTCTAGTAATGATAATGGGGGAAAAAAAAGATATTCTTGTATGTTTTCAATCAATATAACTGGAAGACTACTTTTTTTTTTTCATCAAAGAAGCATATTCCAAGTCTATGTAATAGTATAAGTCTTGTCCCTTTTCTGTCCTACTGAAGACCTGACAAAATTTTCCAAGAGGCGCAGAAGTACTTGTGGAGGCGAGAAATAATGTATCTTGAAGCCTGTTTTGTTTTGGTATTCCCTTTGTTCAAAAAATTTCCCTCTGCTTTTTGGTATAATCTCTCAGACAGTCAAGCCTCTTTCATCTTTCTCCTAAATTCCTATAACATTTTTTATAATAAAATACATTTTTTTAGTGATTGCCTGTTTACTAGTATACTGAATTTGCAGGTCTACTGCTTTGTCAATTTGGAGCAATCTGATTATTCCTGGTGATTCATACCTTTCAGTTGAACCTAATGGATAGAAATCAGTGATGGAGGCAACTCGTGTTTTAAGTGATTCACTAATCACACATCTCCAGACTTCTACTGAACAACACACAGCCACTCTACAATCATTATTACCATTATTGATGTAATTTGCTGTAATGTAAGACTAATTATCCACCTATGTATGTTATTTTTTTTTTTTATAGTCTAAATGAATGAGCCCTAAAGGCTTTGTGGATGTGTCATGTTACAAAATTAAGGTTTCTTAAAACTACCTGATAGTATCAAGTAGTGTCTTTGTATGCCTTTATTTAAAAAGTGGGTGATTGTGGGGGAAACCTTTTTGTCAAAAAGAAAAAGAGCCCTTTGAGATGATCCATCTCATCAAAATAAGCGTGACAGGCTTTAATACCCTTAATATATTCATACCCACACATTAATATGTTGTACATTTTTCATAATTATGTTCAGCAGTAACTGCATTTGTGTGAACTCTCTGGAAGAAAATGGAATTAATTAACCACCTGGCTTCACCTCCTGTATGAAAAGTAACAATTCTAGACATCTTCACGGTTGCTGGAATATGCGTTATTTTAACTCTTCAGTAATAATGTGAAAAAGAGCCAATTTTATGTTTTGAGAAGAGCACTGATAATCCAAGGTTTGGATGATCTTGATTCCGAGAACTGTGGTAGCCCTGTGAGATGCTGCATACTCTCAAAACTGACTCCATTGCTATAAGTGGGTAGGCATTTGGCATGCTGCAGGTTGTTCAGAGTGGTTTTGACATCTAAAAATATCTTCAGATCAAGAAGGTTACTGTATCTTGAATTCCCAGGCTAATCTTGAAGATGGATTAAGCCGAGATCAGCATACTCTTATTCTGGAATAAGACAAAATGTTCTTATGCTGGAATGACAGTATCCACAGCAGAGCAGGTCCTTGTAGGGGTGAATGTTGGAAAGATGGTAAGATATACCTTGAGTATTTGTTTAACAGAAAAAAGCTTGTAAGAAGTAGAGAGTGGACTGTAGGCTTGAGTATCCTTCTCACCATTTTACCACGTTCTGACTGAATAAGCACCCATTTCTAACATCCTTTGAGCAGGTGAAGGGGCCTCTGCTTTTACAGTCAATTCTGAGGTTTCATACACTAATGCCCCTTAGTGTAAAGTGAGAAGTGGGCGGCATGTATCTGTAATCATTCAAAGATACCTCTGTCATGAGACCTAGCTAAAATTCTTTGCTGAAATAGCAGCTTCATTTTCTGGAAGATGCAGACTGGCCCAAACTGGAACCTTTTGCAAAATCCATATTAACTTTTGAAGCTGTGTTGAGTCCTGTCTGAAGTCTGCTTACTTTTGTAATGGCTTCTAAGAGCCATGTCTGTATGAACAACCTTGGTATCTAAACACCAAGATTTTCAGGTCCTTTTCCAGAGATGGGGCTTTGAAGGCCTTGGAAGTCCCAACTGTACCACATCTAAAGGCTTTGGTAAGTCTTGGGACTTGAGCTCCTTGATGACCTATGAACAGAGCTGCTGGATCAGGCCAAGGATCAGTTTGACATAGTATCCTGTCTCTGGCAGTGGACAACAGCTGGTGTTTAGAGAAAGCATATGGAAAAATCACAAGGATAAAGTAGTAGAGGCTTTAGATATATCACAAGATACATCCTAATTAAGGGTCCAGTTTCCAAGGAGTGGTGCATTGGACTTTCAGACCTATAGGTTGCCTCTAGGCTGTTGAGTTCAATAGCCTTTGGACCTTTCTTCATGTGCATTTCCTAACTCTTACACTCATGGATACTTTTGACCCAGATCTATTAAAACATTTTGAAACAATAATTCTTCCCTGATGACACTTCAGAGTTTCTATTTTTCATTGTAGTGCAGAACCAGCTTTAAAAAAAATCATATGGAATAGAGCTTTTTACTTTTTCAGCCCACGTTTTAATCATGGTGCACATCATTTTTTGTCTTGTTTTCCCCAGTCTTCAGTATGTGTCACTAATTCTTAAATACAAGATGGTCTTGGTGCTGCGAAGCTTTTGTCAGTTTGCTTTTTGTATTAGGATATACTGTTGTCATGACTGTTATCTGCTATTAAATTAATTTCAGTGTCACTGTTCCCTATGTTAAGGAATCTATTTCTTTCTTTTTAATTGCGTACTCAGGTTTTTTTCATGCGTCTTTCATTTACAGTGTCATTACTCCATGAAGAAGGCAGCCTCCTTCCTGGGTATTGGTACAGAGAATGTTTACTTCGTCAAAACGGATGAAAGGTAAGCAAGCAAAAGCCATGGCTGTGGTCTCTGAGCCTTTTTAAAAAGCAGTAGTGCTGTATGTAACCAACCTATTTCAATGTAACTGAAAAAGTTTTAAATCTGTGTCCCTTAGAGGTAAGATGATACCTGAGGAACTGGAGAAACAAGTCCAACGGGCCAGGAAAGAGGTGAGAGGGGGAGAGAGAGCATGAAGGAGATAGGACGAGTGTATGCAGATGGTGTGCTTGTGTCTGAGTGAAAGGAAGGAGAACCAAGAGTGAGTGAAATCTTAAAAATAGGGCAGTTCATGTACCAGTGTCTTTCTAACAGGTGCGATCTGTTTGCCACAAGCTTGTGTAACAAGCCAAGACTTCTAGGTGCTGCACCCTTCTGAGGGAGAAAAATTCCACAGGTTGTTTACTACTAAGGAAAGTCCTGAGAACAACACTGCTCTGAAGTATTTAGCACAGCTGCTAGGATTTCTTTTGCCCTTGATCCGTTTTTTTAAATGGATGCAGTACTGGTTTTCCTTAAATGGTAAATGAAAACTGTAGGTTTTTCAGTTAATTACAGCTGCTGTTGCTCTGTCTTGTGCAGTGAATAAGAACTGTAACATGGGGCTTAGTCTGTAAAACTATCACACAACCTACAAATGTTAAATTTGGTCCTTTCTAGTATTGTAGCAAGAGTGCAGGGATTCCATGCTGTGCCTCTTTTCCCCCAGGGACTTTGCCAAGTAGAAAGTCAAAGGCCAGCATTTGGAAATGTACTGATGTGTGTATTAACATACATTCCCACAGTCTGTAAGACAGCACTTAACTATAGTCAACATAATTAATTTTAAAGAACTTGGAGGACTGGATGTGAATTCTAAGGCACGGAGCATCTTCTTTTGGCTCGGTTAGCTCACCTTATTTCTCACGTCCAGTTTGTGCATGAGAGCAGCAGGATTCAGAGCTCAGTCCTCAGTCCATGATCTGTGAATACCAAGCAACTAGCGCAACATCCGTGGTGTGGACAATGCCTACCATGGAATCCTACCTTGAGAAACCTACTTTTGTGGCTGATAGAAATGCCAAGGCTGTGCTGTCCTGTCGTGCACTGGCATGGCCACAACAGCTTTCACTAAGACCCGATTTAGATACATCTTTTGCCAAACAGCCATCTCTTCTGTGAGTTTCATGCTAGATAGAATAACTACTGATACATGGTGGCCCTAATGACCTAGCAAACTCTCTTGATTGCCTCTTTCTGTACTTTGTGTTATCTGTGGAAGACAGCTTTACTTTACTCATTTGAGCAAGCTGGGGGGAAAAAAAAAGGACAGAAATTAAATGGGGCAAGAGGAAGCAAGCTGACAGGAATTCTGCTCTTGCGAAAACAGAATTCTTGTTTGTTGATGTAATAATAAATGTACTGGTTATTTGAAAGAAATCCTCTGACATTTATGATTTTAAATAAAAGGTCAACCTCAGTATGGTGCTCTGCAATTTAAAAACAAATGTTCTATATTAAAATGCTCTGCTTACAGGAGAACACTATTTCGCTTGCATTTTAATGGAAGTTACAGGTGTATTGGAAGGTTTTCATTTCATCAGAGCTTCAGTAAGTGTGTCTGTCCTTGATAAAGTGCTACTTTACAACTTTTACAGAAGGACACTTCAGTGAATTACAGTAAATATTCTAATGATTCTAGACAGCAGAGGATGTATTTGTAGTGATAGGAGCACAAAATGATCACTGACGATGAATAGCAAGAGTCTTAGGCCTCTTTTTAGAGAATTTAGTCAGGAAGATTTATTTATTTAACTATATTTAATTGCCTTCTTTTTGGGGAAAAATGTAATGGTAACAATCTTTGGAATTTGTAGAGATCTCAGATTTGTCCCCATATTCAGTCATATTACCTTCTGGCTGCTGGGAGACCCTTGGCTTTGATGTAGCTGTGGGAAAAAATTGGTGAGAATGCTAACAGGAACTAGGTGCAGCAGATACATCTTTGCCGCACTCGCAAGTGTTTTGCACTTGAGCTTCAGGCTGGTTTATAAGTTTGATTGCCTTTTGTGGTAGATTGTACTAGGAATGAATGACCAAGAAGTGAATTATAGGCTGGTAATTCTCTGTGAATGTATGAGATTAATTTAAATTAATTCCAAGGTTACTTTTCACTGCTTTAGGAATTTGTAAAGAAATTTAAAATACAAATAAATCATAATTATGTACTGTTCGAACAATCCTCTACGCTGTTCAAGAAGTATAAAACTGTCAGAGTGTAAATGTGAATCAAGCCTGTCTGTCTCCGTAGCAGATGTTTAAAAGAGGCAACATTTTTTTTTTTAAAGAGACAGATCAGATTTCAGCTGAATTGAAGATACATAAAAGACTCACATGTAGAGTTTGATTTTTCCAGCTGATGTCTGATTTCAGTGAAGCTATCTTGAGTTACATCAGCAGAGAGACTTATGTCATCTGCGAGATTTAATTCACTGCAAGTGAACTCCAGGGATTCCAGATTATACAATTTAATAACAAATTTAGTCCCTCTTCAGTAACTGTGTTGTCACGCTGCGGGCCAGATGCTGAAATATTCAGAGGAGTTCCTTCCACATGTATTTACCAGCATGTGAGACTACACAGTCATCGCGAGGGCTGGTACCCTCAATTTCATGAAGTTGTTTCAAACTCTACGGATTCTTTTTCTTGTTTCGTTTTCTGCTCCTAAGCAGGCACAAGGCACATACATCTGCAAGGGAAGGTGCCAGCTGGTGCACGCGACCTAGTCTGCTATTGTAATTGCACCCCTGGTATTAGTTGAACGGGAAAGCAATAAGCAAAGCCACTGAAACCAAAATGGATGGCTTTTGACGGTTGTCTGAGACTGCAACCTGACAGTAGTTTTCCTTTTCCCACCTGTCTAACCTTACAACTGTCTGAGATTTCCAGTGGTCTCTCTTCTGACCATTTACAGCCTTGCCTGTTTTCTAGACAGGAGTAGGAGCAAGAGAACAGCGCTTTGCTGTAGATCAGGGTCAGACAGCGATGGCTGTCCCCATCATGGTATGTGCCAGTGGTGCCGAAGGCAAATCGTGTTCCCAGAAGGTTCCTCTTCGCTAGACAGAGAATAGGGGCACTGTAGAGATGACACAGGTGGAACCCCTAAAGGGATGAGCCCGTTCCTTGCATGGGTAGCCTGCTGGCTGAGTTAGTAGCTTTATTTTATTCAGCAGAATGGCAGCATATATGGTAGCAAAATGTGGAAGACTGAGAAATGAAAATCAGTGTATAAAGAGAGATGTCAAATATTCGGTATGTTTTGATCTTGACAAAACTAGCATCTGTCAAAACAGTCTGAAGCTGGTGAAGTCTGCCCTGGGATGATGTTAACTGGAAATGGAAAAAGCTCTTTTTTTTTTTTTTTTTTTTTTTTTTTTTTTTTTTTTTTTAAAATGAGCGCTTTTTAGAAGAGTCAGCACTTTTAGATGCCCTACCTTCTGCTGGGAAACTAAAATATAGACTGTCACATCTTTGTCCTATATTCCTAGATCTTTTTATACTTTAGCTCTGCAGATATACTGAAGGAAGTGCAAATGACAATTTTTTGTTTTGAATCCTATTGCAGGGGTCAGCACCATTTCTTGTCTGCGCTACGGCAGGCACAACAGTGCTGGGAGCATTTGATCCTCTGGATAAAATTGCCGATATCTGTGAAAAGCATGGCCTCTGGCTTCATGTTGACGTGAGTTTGTATACTGTGTAGTTGTGTTTAGTGTTCCTTTTTTTTATAATTGCTTTTTTTATTTTTTTTGACTGTTGATGTTTCTTTCTAGACGTAAGTTGAACTCTGGTAACTTTTTTTTTTTTTGCATGGAGAACAGAAATACGTTCTGATTTGTCTCTGTTACATGTGCTGAAAAACAGCAAATAATTTGGTTGTGACAAGCAGTCAAAGCTATTCTGTCATTGTCAGGTTATATTTCAAAATGATTTTAAAATCAGTTTCTTCTTGCTACCTCCTAAAAATGCTTCGAGGGTGATTATATACAAATATAACTTTGGATTCTTTCCACATTCTGTGGGAGAATGGACACATTAGAATTGCAGTGTATGGTTTGTCCGGGTTAAAATAAAGGTATATTTCTGACTCAACCAGTCATAAATTATTCTGTGTCATATTTACAGGTTTGAGTTTCCTGTGGATCTCCTTACGTTATCCTAAATTGTTTAGAAATTTTTCTTTTGTCATTTCTTTATATTTTAGGTTTGGATATTAAAATCCATTCATGAACCTTTTTGGAGTAATCATTGAGCCTTTTTATTACCTGAAAGAATTAGCTGTAAATGTATTTTTCTAAAACTAGGTCTCTTCATATTTGCTAAAATTGCATTCTCTTTATAATTGCAGTGTCACAAATCCAGAATGGCTAGATTAAAAGCCATGGAGCAATGAGAGAGTCTGGCACAACATTAATGGAGATTTTTAGACCTGGACTAAATTTTTGAAGTGTTTGTTTAATGTTGAGTATCTAAAGAAAAATCACGTAGGCAGCGATGTGTGTTTCAACTAAATGTGTCACGGACATTAATAAATAAATTTGCTGTGAATCACAATAGTTTTCTTATTGACTTGGAGGCAAAGGTGGAGAATTTAGCGCTAGTATTTAAACTGTGTGCTGGTGAGAATGACCCAGCAGATTTTCAGCACAAGTGCAGCATTTGCATTAGGTGCTAGTCTCTTGTGTGTCTGCGTATAGTTAGTGAAAAGAGGGATGTATTCAGAGTCTGTGTTGGATCTTAGGTGAGTTGGAGATGGGTCTAGCCACTTCTGTTCAATGGCTGTAGGAGGACAATGAGTAGTCTCCTAACATACTCCCTGTAGCTGAATAACTAAAATTAGGTGAGATGGGCCTGGGCCATGTTGTGAACTATATACTTCATATGCAGTTGATAGGGTTTTGTAAAGAATTAACTTTCTTCTTCCAATTTTGCCTCACGTTACACTCAGGTAAAAATGTCAATGAATATCTTAAAGTTAATTTTCTGTTTGAACAGTGACTGTAGTTGTCAGATGTTAATTGATTCCCAGTACAAGGACAAATGTCCAGTAATAAATTTGGTTTATGGTCTGAAAGACCAATTGTTCTGTTAAGATGTGATTCATGTTATGAACCTCTCAATGGTTCTCAGGAGTTCTGTCAGTATTTTTTCCATTTTTCCTTACACCGTCTCTGAAGAATTGAGTGGATGGCTGTTTCTTTATTTTTTTGTTTAAAGTTTCTAGCTGTATTTATATGAGAACAGGGTATAGGGAAAAGACTGAAAGCTTTCCACCTAAGGGCCATCAGGCATACATGTATATACAAATGTGCTATGGTAACATGAGCAGACTGTAATTCATAATGTGACCTTTTTTTCACTCATAGCACTATTAGAAATACATGTACTAGAATAATATGTGAAAAGACCAGGCATCTGCCATTCAGAAAGAATGTACAAGAAATATATTGAAGAGTTGGATTTTTTTCTTTGTTTTTAAGTAAGCCTACCTCCTTCTAGCCTTGTAGGCAAGAATATCATATTTTTTGAAAGCTTTGAGGATCTACGTTCTTCTGAAAGACCTGGCTTCTTGTTGAATGATTTACATGTTATGCAGTCTGAGTTCTAGCAAGTGAATACTGCTGTTTTGGCCTGCTGTAACTTTGGAGGAAAAGAAGATATGGTACAATTAAAACAAAGATTAAAAAACAGGGAAATGTCTGTCTAATTTAGGACTGTTCATGTATCATTGATGGGAATCAGGATTATCTACTGCAAATGGTCTCAAGAGCTGTTTATAAGAGTATCTTATATGAATGTCAGTGGCGTTATTTCCAGATTGACACTGATGTATCTCATTTCAGAATATTTTCTGATCCCAAAAATTGGTATGTTTGCCTTAGGGAGACTCTTTTCATTAAATATGAAACGATAAAGCTCATGATTCTTAGGAGGGCAAAAGGGAGAATGTCAACATAAAATCTGTGGGCTTCAGGAGGATAAATTTCAATAAAGTCAGAAATAGTAGATAAGCTCTCACATGGCGACAAACCTAAAGAGGAAAAGGGAGTTAAGGGAAAAGTTGTTTTAAGAAGATAATACCAATAAGCCCAAACTGTCTCAGCAGTCAAGCCATTCAACAGCCTAAGTGCAAAGACTATAACCAGGCTTATTTTGTGCACGTTACAGTATTTGTACATGCATTCTAGTTGCTTTTTGCATTCATCTATGATGCCTTAATGACTTGTTTTGCATCATTAATATGCACTCAAGCTCCAGCACTTACGTACGTCATGTGTTGTGTTCATGCAGTTTTAAATACTATGTATGAGTATTTCTTCCCTGCTGGTCCTTACTTTGCCTTCTTTTTTCCTGTGACTAGGCCAGTACAGAAAATCAGATTTGACCTATTAGCCTGTGCTTAGGTAGTGGGTTTAATCACACTGCAAACACTGTGATCCCCATCATTCAACTGTAAGCGGTTTGTTGCATAGAAACAGTAATTTTTGCATACCTAGTTACTAATTATGTTGCATGGGACACAGATGATAATCTTTGTGTTTTGAGCTACCCTGCATTGCTGTATCAACTGGATTTGTCGAAAATAAAATGTGTCAATCTGGTTCGATCAATCTACCTTCCTTCTGTAGCCTCATGGGTGGAGGAGAAGCAGTTAACTTTATTGTGTCTTTGCAATATCACATCAGAAAGCCAGAGAAACATGCCAAGCTGCAGGTGTGGTAGTGAGTGAAAACCTGGCTGGAAAATCAAACCTAGAGAGCAGTTACCAGTGGTTCACTGCTGAAAGGGGAGAAAATTTTGAGCAGGATTCCACAACAGCCCATCCTAGGTTAGAAGTTAGTTGGTATTTTCCTGAATAACTTGGATGAAAAAGAATAGATACGCTGACTAAAATTGAAAATGACATAAAACTGCTGCAAGAGGCAGTGGGAGGACAGGATTAGAAATCAAAGAGATCTTGACAGTTTGGAGAAAAGAAGTGGAAAAACTAGGCTACAGTTCAATGAAGAGAGCTCCAAGTTTAAGCTGTAATAATCAACTGCATAAACACAGGCTGGGGATTGTTGGCTAGAGAGCAGGTCTTCAGAAAAAGATCTAGGGTGTGCAGTACGTCACAAATCAGTGATCATAAACATTTTCAGATAGGGTTAAATGCCTTTCAGAGTTGAATAAAGAAGATACATGAAATATTGTCTCTTTCTGCTTGGTGCTCCATCTGCTTTATCTAGATTGTGTCCATATAAAAAGCTGCATTTCAAGAAGGTTAAGAACCTACAGGAGAAAGATTAGAAAATACTAAAGCTGTGAGGATAAACAGAACCATATCTAGAAATTATGACCAGTGAGGAAAGATTGAAAGCACTGATGCTACTTAAACTAGAAAAGACAAAGAGACAATACGTAGTAGTCTACAGATGCTTTAAAAGCTGCTGCAAAAAAGAAAAGGAATAATCTGTTCCCCTGACCGCTTGGTCTTTGAACTGGGTAAAGAAGCATGGAGCACAAATTCATCTTGTAGTACTGTGGCTCAAGGAGAGTTGAAAGGTGGTGGAGACGCCTGGACCTCCAGTACTATCATCCCTCTCTTCCAGATCTCCAGCAGTAATTTTTAAAACAAAGGTGGGAAGTAGTGCCAATAGTGCTGTGGAGGCAGCAATTGCTGATGTCTCTCTGCACCTTACTTTTCACTTTGATGCTAATCACAAGCCAGGTGTGTTCATTGATTAATAATCTCTAGAAAAGACAAGTGTTTGACAGAAATGAGATGAATATGGCTGATCCTGCCTTTGGAGGTGGCACGCTGTTGAGATGACCTCTTGAGGGCCTTTCTAGTCCTGTTTTTCAGAGACTCTGAAAATGTCAACTTTTTCAAATACAGATGCCTTTGGATGCACATTTTGTAAAGACTTACTGTATTTCAATGGGTTGCTTATGGATTATGAAAATCAGGGAATAATTTAGTGACTGTTTTGACTTTACTGAATTATAGAACGAGTAAAATTTGTCTATGGATAGGAAGTTCAGTTTGATTGTTTTCCCATAACATGGCAAATTCGGGCTAGCTGGAGAAACCCAGTTTCAAGTCACAGTTCTGCCACAGGATTACTGTGAAGTTTGAGGCAAATAGTTTCCTACCTTAGGTCCCTTAGTTACCTTAGATTGAGCAGCAGCCCTTTCCTCAGCAAGGATGTTGTGAGCATGACAACATAAAATATGATGTGGTGCATTAACATACTGCATTAATGAGAATGACGTGTTAAGACAAGTTATTAACCTTTCATTTCCCTTATGAGCCTTTACCATTCCTGTCTCCCAGAGATAGCAGATCTTATTCCTAATGTATGGCTTATGAAGCAAATACTGATGCTAAATTCATAGGTCAGCTATCACATCTGTTTCTTTCAAGGGAAAAAAAGAACAAAAGCCAAACAAGCATGTATTCTGCATGCTTAGGTCAGGAATCTTCACGTCAGTGTTGGGTTGGTTTTTTTTTTCTTCATTAGCCCAGAATGTATGAATCTTTGTTTAAAATATGCTGAGTCCACATGTTCTGTGGACTTATGCCTCCTGTGCATCTCTGAGGAGCCTTGCTTACTTCACAGGGAATTTGCTTAAGTGGATTCTGCCTGCATGAACGTTGAAAATAATTTTTTTTTCATATTTAATAATAATTTCTCAAATGCACTGTATAACTTGTCTAGTGTTTGTTGCCTCTACCCCTCCCCTGTGGACAAATATCGTTCTTTGAGAAAGGAAGATTCAGAGCACCGGGTGGGTGAAATCTGATCCTTGCAGAATTCATGGATCCAGTTGCCAGAAACTGAACTTATGTAATAAAAGCTTGTTGTCTGGGTTCCTTCTATAGTCCATGGAGAGACATCTGCAAAAGGTGTCACCCAAAGGCAAGTATCTAGAATAGATAAAATGACACTTGATAAGTAGTCTCAGTGGTGAGCCCCTCATTACAGAGAAGGCCTAAATGACTCTTAGACAACACAGTTCTCAGATGACCCGAGGGAGACGTGGTGAGGCTTACTCCATTTTAATATCAATTGGATTGCTGGTAACAGAAATGCTGCTATCGCCTACTCACTGATTTCACCTTTTATGTGCAAACTCTGTGGAAAATCTGAGCCTGGACTATGCAATTGGCAGAGATTATAATTCTCTACTATTTCCCTTGTGAATGTCTCAGAAAGGAAACAGCTAGCAGGAAGAAGTTAGGCGAAATGGAGCTTTCTGCTCTCACTGCTTAGGTTTAGGCTAGGGGAAAGGAAGCAGCTCTGATTCAGTATCAGGAATAGGTCTGGTTATTCAAGGATGCTTCAGTTCATGCCCTTACTTACACAGAAGGAACAGTGTGGTTTGTGGCTCACATAGTGGCACAAACTGTCAGCTCCTTTATTTGAGGCACAGCCTTAGGCTGCCATCTTTATATCAGTAGATGATATTAAAGGCAAAAATTTAGCCCGCTGATTGTGTAGTAAACTAAGTTTTAAATAATTTCTGAAGATGTTTTATCTTATTAATTGAAACATTATCAAAAGAATTTTGTACAAATAATATTGTCTTGGCTCTATAAATGTTCCAACAGGCTTCTTGGGGTGGCTCAGCTTTGATATCGAGGAAGCATTGCAGACTTCTTCATGGCATCCACAGGTAAGTCACTTTAGTTCATAGGCACACCTACCAGGGACTGAGATGGAAGTTGTGTGGCCTGTTGGCCTCCATGAGAGCTGCATTTTCCAAGATAAATATTACTATTAATTGGAGATATTTCTGAACCTATGGGTATATGGGGAGGAAAAAATGAGAAATCTGATTTGTCTGCTTGGATTGTGTTTGGCCATTTTTTATTCTCTTATACCCATGATTATAGATGCAATTTTCACCTCCCTTTCTTTGTTTATAAATTTCTCAGGGCTGATTCTGTTGCCTGGAATCCCCATAAAATGCTGTTGGCAGGAATCCAGTGCTGTGCTCTTCTGGTGAAAGACAACTCTGTAAGTCGTCCTGTTTGTTCTTTGGGTTTGGTGGTTTTTTTGTTTTTTGTTTTTTAAATGCGGTAGGCTGTCATTGCTGTAGTATGGAAGTGGAAATAATTAGAAAACAACTGCAAGTCAGTTTTACTACACTGCAGTGCAAAAGGCTGAATGATATTACTTTGAATTTCACCACAAAATTAAAGGGTGATAAGAGAGCAGGGTCGAAATGATCCAAGTCACTGTACTCACCAGTGGTCAAATTTTGCAGCTGGTGCCCTTGCTAGTTAACTTCTGTGCATGATTTGCATTCAGAATTGAGTATTTTATCACCTGGGTCTGCAGCACTTAAGCACTGAGCTCATCAAAGTCCTCAGAATAGCTGTCATCTATTGGGACTGCAGCAGTACTGCGTCTCTGTTTAAAGTAGGCAGAGCTCCTCTTCACATCCTCTTACGTGGGTGCACCAGAGTGGGAAAGGAGAGGGATAGGAGTCGGAGCACGTGCAGGTAAAGGTGCTGAGCCTTCTTTCCTTACTCTGCTAGTTCTTCCTCATCACCAGCGTGCTTTAGGCTTTCCAAAAGCCTAAAAGGTCTAGCAAGCAAAGAACAGAGCTCTGATCTCAAGTGGTACAAAAGTGAGACGAGTCTGTAATGTTGTAAAAGTCCCTGCTTATATCTTTGTGGAATTCTTCTATTGTAATAAAGAAACCAGTAAGAGGTCAATTATTTCAAGCCCCATTTCAAATTCAGCCCTGCTAAAACTTATGCCCATTGTCCACCATCAGGGGTGAGTTTTAGCTTGTACTTCATAGGTTATGAATGACTGAACATCATGAAGATATGGAACCTCTGAGGTTTGCATCGCTATTTTGTGGCCATCGCTTATAAATCTCTGTCAAAACAGCTGGTAGTTTCTATTCAGCTCCTAGTGGTTAGCTATCCATGTAATTGGTTACTAACTTCTGGCAGTAAGAACTGATGAGAACCAAAGAGCATAGATACTAATCAGCGTTCTCTTGGAGCTGATTGCTCCAAGTCAGGGGTGAGACATGGCAGGACAGCCAGGAGAAGTGTGCCTCCTCATTTTCTTAGACTAGAGACTGTGGGATTAAAGAGGATTAGACTCCAGGACTACCCGTCCATCACTTTATTGCAGGATGAAAAACAAGCAGAGTGAAGTTATTGACTAAGATTAATATGGTGTCTTAATTGCAGGCTTGGGAAGAATTCAGTGCTATATTTTTAACTAATTAGGCCCAGTACGTAGATATAGCCCCAGGTAATGATTAGACTACTTGGGCAGCATAGCAGAGATTTCTCAGGAAGAATGAGGAAAGAAACGGAGAGGAATGAAATATTCTAGCTGCCCTGGCATTTAGAGTCCTTTTACAAATACTGTTCCAACTTCAGGGCTCTGGCACCTTTTCTGTATTCTCCTTCTATGCAGTGTAATGTCTGGTAGGGCAATCCTATTCTACTTATAAATCACAGCTAGGCACCGTTGTGCTGGAAATAGTTGTAGAGCTGAACCCTAGGCCGTTGAGGGGTGAAAACACAAGTATTACCAATCATACAATCTGATCCTGTTGTACAGTGAGACACGTAAAGTAGATGATTTCTCTGCATGGGGCGGAGAGGGCGTTTTACTCTGTGTTTAATTCCTGGAAAATTGGCACTTACGTGTTTTGTGTATGTGCCAGTGCAGTCTTTATATGCAGATGCATGTACAAATTTGAGTACTTTCTTATCAGCTTTTCGAAAGTGTTGGAGTATAAATCCTTAAGAAAAAAAGATCAAATGCATATTTAAGACACTTTGGCAGAAAGGTCTTGCTTCACTTTGATCCTCTCCATACCAGAACAGGCAGCTGAATCCAGTTTCCCATTAAAAATGCTATTTTCACACCAGTAAGAGAAGGGAAGAGTATGTGTATCAGTTTTGCACTTTGGAGCTTGTTCCACTGCTCTTAAATTATTTAAATACCTGTGGCTGCAGATGAAGCACACAATTATATGTGAATATAATTCCTTCACACTGGTTAGGATGCGTCAGTGGGAGCTGGATGCTGAAGTGGGATCTGGAAGATTTTGGCACACATTGCTCTGCTAGTGAATGTTCACGGAACCTCAGGTAGTTTCTGAAGCAGTGAACTCTGCAAGAAATCAGAGCAGTGAAATGTTAAATGTAGATGTTAAGTCCCATTTATGAATCAAACCCTAGCTCCCTTTGAAGGTCTGATGGTCTGATTAAGGAAGTTTTGTTAGTCTGTCTTCCCATTTGCTTTGAGGGCCATTTGGAAACTGCAGAGTACCTCAGGATTAAGGTTAGGTGATTATAAGTGGATACTCAGATTTTCTAGGTCTCTCTCTCTTTTTCTTTTTTTTCTTCTTTTTTTTTCTTTTTTCTTTTTTTTTTTTTTTAGGTATAGATTGTTTAACAAGCCCAAACTTTGTACTTTATTTTATGTATGAGAAGATAATCTTTAGAAGGAATCATCACATTTCTGACGCAGTGGTTAAACTCTAATTTGCCATTAGCAAAAGTAATAGTGACTGGTTTTGTTTGGTTTGGGGTTTTTTTGCCACATAGTATCAATAAAGCTATGTGCTTTAGCAATGTTAATAGGCTTAAAACATTGCAGCTAGATTATTGGAATGAAACTTTGTATTTAAATATTTTCCTATACAAATAAAAAAAAAGGGGGTAAACTGCAGTGAAATGCCATTAAAAGAGTATCTTCCAGCCTTAGGGACACAAAATTGGAATGACTTCCAAAGAAGGTAGACATAGAAAAGAGAAATATGCGTTTGACTTGATTAGAAGGGAGAAGCATTTTCACCAAAGAGAAGTTGGCTAATCCTCTGTAAAAGCTCTGATCAATGACAGTAGTTCTATGAGTGCTTAAAGCACTCAAGAAATGCACAGCTCTCCCTTTGTCGTGGTTTAACTGGACAGCAGCTAAAACAACCCCTCAGCCATTGGCTCTCTACCCCCCACAATGGGATGGAGGAGGGAATCGGAAAAAAAAAAAAAAGGTAAAACTCGTGGGTTGAGATAAAGACATTTTGATAGGACAGAGAAAGAAGATTATAATAATAATAGACTATACAAAACAAGTGCTGCACAGCACAATTGCTCACCACCCAAAGCTGATGCTCAGCTAGTTCCTGAGCCATGCTGTCTCCTGGCAAACTCCCTGTTATATACGGAGCATGATGTCATATGGTATGGAATATCCCTCTGGCTAGTTTGGGTCAGCTGTCCTGGCTGTGTCCCCTCCCAGCTTCTTGTGCACCCCTTGCCTTCTTGTTGGCAGGCTGGTATGAGAAGCTGAAAAGTCCTTGACTGCTTGGCAACAACTAAAATATCAGTGTGTTATCAACATTATTCTCATCCTAAATCCAAACCACAGCACTATACCAGCTGCTAGGAAGAAAATTAACTCTATCCCAGCTGAAACCAGGACACCCTTTTTCACTGTCATACCCTGAGAAACTTTCATCACTTTTGTAATAAGACAGACTTACTCAGAAAACACTTGTATTGCTGTGGTCTGTGTTGCGGTGACTGTTTAAACACAAAGCTAGATGGATCAATATTCTCAAAATATTAGTGAGTCAACTTTGTTCTTACATGTTCTTAAAATGCTGTGAATCAGTCTTGAGTTGTACGTACTCCCTTAAGACCACAGAGCTACTCTTATTTGTCCTTGCTATAATCTATATAAACATGAATATTATCACCGTATAAATAGAGAATGAGTGTTTATCACCAGTGCCAAAGTTCTGTGGCTCATTAGAGTGTAGCACTAGGTTAGGTAATTAGCAATGAATTCTAGGTAATGAGCAGAATTTTCACTTTTTAGTTAAAATAAAGTCTCAAAGAATGTAGCTAAGGAAATCCCAGTTTAGCACAGAATATAATTGATTGAGGTGATCACGATAGTCATCTGCAGTGTAATCTCTTCCTCATCATTAGCAGAATCACAAAGATACCTACTTCCCTGATTCCTTTCCAGGGCAGCTGCAGGGAATACTCTATTCCCATTGCTTTCTGCTTGGGGTTAGCACAACTGAGTGCTCCTTCTCACTTCTTGAGGTGAATTACAGGGGTGGCCTTTTGCACTGCACTGCTTTTGAGTATGTTCAAGTATGCCATTCAAAAGATTGTCCTTATTGCTTCAGATGAGGCAAATCTGGAAGATGTTTGTCTTGGGGAAAAAGATACTTTGTTAATGAAATTGAAATTCACTTTTAACTAGCAATGGAAATGGAAAGGTATCAGAAGTCTTGCTGTACATAGGTATGTTTATGTTCAATGAGGAAAATATGTTGAATTATGAAACTGGAGCTTTTATATATTGATTTCATAGACGTATGAGGAGAGGTTGAAGTCCCTTGGTTTGTTCAGCCTACAGAAGAGGAGACTGAGAGGAGACCTCATCGCAGCCTACAGCTTCCTCATGAGGGGGAGCGAAGGGGCAGGCGCTGATCTTCTCCCTCTGGTGACCAGTGATAGAACCCAAGGGAACAGCATGAAGCTGCAACAGGGGAGGTGTAGGTTGGATATCAGGAAAAGGCTCTTCACTGAGAGGGTGGTTGGGCACTGGAACAGGCTCCCCAGGGAAGTGGACACAGCACCGAGCTTGACTGAGTTCAAGAAGCGTCTGGATAACGCTCCCAGTCATATGCTCTGATTTGGCTGGTCCTGTGTGGAGCCAGGAGTTGGACTCGATCCTTATGGGTCCCTTCCAACTCAGTATATTCTATGATTCAGTATCTATAATTATTATTTATTTGCCATTAATTAGAACACACAACAACTATTCATAAACTTCATCAAAACCAAAGGCTATTTGAAACTTCATAGTGGACTGGGCCTTCCATGAAAATAGTATTCCATTTTCTAAACTTGAACCGCCCCAGCATAAGGCAGAGCACTACCATTAGTCTCTGTACAAAGGGTAGAAAGAGAAAAGATGCTGAAGAGAGAATTTCAAACTTGTCAACTGGGGCAATTGTAATGAAATTTTTGCAATTCTGAACAGATGGGGCAGCTCACTGTGTAGAAAACTGTTCGAGTCTTCTTGGGACTGAGAATGTTGAATTAGAAAGCATACTTTTAAACTTCTCAGGAAAACTGAGATGACTTTTTATGTCTTCAACATGTTTGAGTCTATTACTTTTGAAAGAGCAGTGATCAAGGAGAAACTGTTTTCTTGAACATAAAATTTATCTTGGATTTTTTTTCCTCTTCTATTGTCGTCCCTGCCCAAACTCTATTCTTCAACATTTCCTTTTGCTTCCCTTCTCTTTCCCCTTCACCTTGCTTCTTGCGTTGGTCTGGCATATTTCTTTCTCACAAAGCATGACTTTTGTTTCTTTTCCTGTCTGCTCTAGTGACGTGCTGGAAGATGTCACTGTACTTACCTTTGGAGATTGACAGTAGGCAGTATCTTCAGCATGCATTAGTAGTAAGATAAGCAGATGGAAAAGGATCATCAAGCCAGCACATCTTGTCAGCTTTGGATGCACCAGGAGAATAGGACAGTACCCACTTTTTTTTTTTTTTTTAGTGAAATATTTTCTCAGGAATTTGAGTTCACTCAGACATATTGAACTATTTGTTCTCATTGTGTTTTCACTCTAGAGCATTTGTTTTTAAACTATGAAACTCTGCAGCTGTACTGTGATCTTAAGTGAACTTTTCAGTCTTTCTGTAATATTACAGAGTTTAGGTTTCTTGTGACAAACAAAAGTTATTATTTCTCAGACAACAGACGTGAGGGGAACTAATATCCTGTGATGTCCTCTATTGTGCAGCTGTATTACATTCTGATAAGGCAGAAGATAGTCCCACATTGATCAGCCCTGCTATACACTTACTGCAGAAACACTGTGCAAAATTTTAATGTCAGTAAGAGACAAAGCAATTAACTTAAATTTGTGGATGTTGCTGCCATTTTTAATTTTTTTTAAAATACCACGTCTAGTAAACTTGTATTTTCCCTGAAAATCAAGGTGTGGTGATGTAAATGAATATGCCACAATGGCTTGACAAACAGATTCCTGTTCCTGTTGTGCAGCTGCTAGCCCAAGAACACAAAGCTGTGGAAAAACTGTAAAGGACTGATGCTTCAGTGCTTCACTTATCTTCAGTTTCTAATGTCATCTTCTTGCCTTTCTTTTTCTGCAAAAGTTGGAAAGTAGGTGTGAGAATCTTATATACTGCAAAAAACTCCGCCCAGCATTGGCTTTCCAGCTGCAGCAGGACATTATCCCTCTGATGACTGCAGAGGGAGAGCAGCTGCTGCCCCTTTTTTCCCCAAGCTGTCACATAAACTATCTTTTCACGAAGCTGAATGTGCTGGTTCTGTGGCTAAAGAGTTCAGACTGAATTTGCTGTCCTTCTTGCAAACTAGCGATGTTACTGTGGGATTGTCAGACCCCTACAGAAGTTGTGGAGAAGCCTTTGGTGGTGTTCTCCTTTTGTGCTCTACCAGTAGGTGCACAGGTTGGTTTTTTTGTTTGTTTTGTTTTTAGTATTGATGGAGGGAATTGAAAAGGCTAGGAGATAGGGATACTTACTCTGTATATGTCAGTGGATTATTTCTCCTTTGGATTTTTTTGTCTTGACCCTTTTTTTCCTCTATTTTATTGTCAGTTCCAAAGTTAGCAGTAGTGTATTGTAATGTAGATCAAGAATTGTATCTCTGTTATGGGAATGTGACACTTTGATTAAGAGTGATGTCAGACACTGTCTGCCTTTTAAAATCAGACTTGCAGCAGATGCAGAGAAAAGCATGAAATGTGAAATGCTTTTTCAGTTGGTTCAAACTGAAGAGTGATGTTGAGTTGGAAAATGAATTGTGCTCTTCGAGAAACTGTTTACCAACTTCTGTCATGCTGTCCACTTCTGTTCCTTGGTCTGTTCTGCATGAAAGATATCTGGTTCAACTGTCACTTAAATACATGTTTACATATCTGAATCAGATGCTGTAGCTATGTTTTTAACCTCATCTGAATTTCTATTCTAGTAATATCTAATAGATTGTGGTCTGTTTTTCTTACCCACTTTTAATATCACTGACAATTCTACAACCTTTTCTGTCTCCTGGGCTCCTTGTAGGGCTATCCTCAATTCTGCTCTTGTAACCTGCTTTCTGCCAGCCCTTCTCTCTACTTCATAATGTTACAGAATATACTTCAATAATTCATTCTTCAGCCAATGCCCAGTCCTATGCCTCTTCTCTTCCTCTTCTTTAAACCTGTAACAGCTTCTGTGCTTTCTCTTTTCCAGCTTTGTTCTTTGTTGGAACTTGCCACGTTACTCATTTATCTTTGTTTGCTGCTGCTCATCTCTGCTCAGGCAGCCTCTCAAAAGTTGGAGGGTGAAGATTGCTGAATAAAAATAATTTCATTTACAAACCATAATTAGAGTATGCTAAAGTACCTTTTCTGAGGTTATTTTCAAATGTTAAAATTGTCTGAACTGTGAAAAGAGACAAAAATCGGGGTTGTACTAATCTCCTCATGATGTTTCCACTCAGCCTATACTAAATCCTCAGTGACTTTAGTTTCTGGTAAGGGCTAAACATTTACTTCTTGGGGCTGAAATCTTCCCTACCTGCAATTAACTGTGCTGTATACATATAAAGTTCTTTGTTTGACAGAGAAGGAATAGCTTGAGCCATTTGTGAACATGTAGGAAGCTCCTCAGGACCTGTTCTTCCAATCTATAGACTGGCACAGTGAACACAGGCTTCTCCTTCTTCTCCCTCTTTCCCACCTATGTATGTCTTTGGGCAACTGTTTCTGCAGTACTCACTCCCATCGTTTCTTGAGATCATCTGAGTTAGAATTTCTCTTCTACCTGCAACTCTTCAGTGACATTATGAAGAAAATAATAAAAAAAGAAGTTTCCTTGTTGTCAGTGCTGACTTCACTGAGTTCAGGTTCATCCAGGGTTCTTAAACCACACCATAAGCTTTGGATAGTTTCCTGCACATCCAGTTCTGTTTTACTAAGAAGGTGGTACAGACAGGAAAAAAAGACTTTGGCTTGTGAAGATGAAAAAGTTTGAAAATGCTTATCAGCAATCTAAGTCTTTACTGTGTTTCTAATAGGGCCTCCTGAAGAAGTGTTACTCTGCCAAGGCCGCATACCTGTTCCAGCAGGACAAGTTCTACGATGTCAGCTATGACACTGGTGACAAGTCCATTCAGTGCAGCAGGCGTCCAGATGCGTTCAAATTCTGGCTGATGTGGAAAGCATTGGGAACCACAGGCCTCGAGGAGAGAGTAAACAGGGCACTGGCTTTGGCTAGGTACCGCCTCACAATTTTGACTGTCTAGTCTGTTTAATTGACTGAAATGTTGGCACTGCTGATACTCCACATCCTGGAACAGACCACATTGTTACTTTTTTCCCCCATCTCCTTTTGTATAATGGGAAGAAGTAACAGCAATACTAATTAGTGTTATTACATTTGCTACAATATTTAATGGTAATAATTACTTTTAGCAATAAGCATAAATGTTGGTAAGCATAGAAGTCTAAATTAGGCTATCAATCTACATTGTTTCACACTTACCTGAATCAGACATAGGACAAGTTTACCAATACACCCTCTTCTAACTCCTAACTGTGTGTTCTGGTGTTAGTATAAAAGCAGACCTATGTGCCAGGCTCTGAACTGGGTCTAGCAAGAAGTGAATTAGCATTCTTCTGTTCACTTCATTCCTCATGACTGAGGAAGAAACACAGAAAGCCAATGATTTGGGGAAATTTGTATGAGGTCTATGAAGGCATATTGTTCTAAGATACTGCTTGTTTTTTGTCCACAAGTTTGCTGAAGTTTTTAATGCTTACGGTATGTCCTGTTAGGGACTGAAGTACCCTTTTCTTGTGATCTTCCCCTCGCCTGCCCTGTTCAATTTTACTAAGTTTTTGGTCTCGCAGAACTGAGTTTCACAAGTGAATTCTGCAAAATACTTGCTAGAAGATGTTTCTAAAGTGATGAAGATGTCTCAGTTTCTGGGAAGAAACTTCCATATGCAGGTTGTTTTGTCTTCCAATAGAAGGAACAATATTGAAATAAGATAATGGCCTCATATAAACAACTCACTTGAAGTATCATATTTGTTCAGAATTTATACAAGATAAACCACAATGAAGTCTTCACCATTTCCTGGGCTAGCTACACACTACCATAAGTCAAAGCATTAATATCAAAAAACAGTCACCCATATCATATTGCCATTTTTTTTTGATATGAACTACCAAGTTGAAAAGAATTGAATGTTTACTCCAGTGAAAATTAAAGGAATAGTCTCACTTTAATTGAAGTCAAAGAAAAGGTGAAAATACCCATTACCTAAACACAGAGTGGATTAGAAAGAAATAAAAAGAAAGAAGCAAAACCAGAAAAGCCCAAATGAGCCGTGGCTTTTTTCTCTATTTTATTTCCTTAAAGCCACTCATTGTTTGGCTAGTTAAGTGTTCCTTAATAACTTCTGGTTAAATTGCACCTTGGTTTTGTTCTGAAGCATTGTACTGTTCTGTGTCTGTACCGGGTAAGTAATTCATTCCACTATCAGTAGGAGAATTCAGCCTTATCAAGGTCACTGGCCAAAGTCATTTGACTGAGAGTGTAGTGATTAATGACCTTTCTGGGATCGATATTTTCTTTGAACATTAGGATTCAGCTGGTAGCGCTTCTAAGGGGTGACTTGAGTTGTCTTCCCCCCCCCCCTTAAAGAAGAAATTTAATTCTTAGTCATTATCTGATGAAGTATATTCTTTACAGTAGCTGCCTTGCTAGCTTGAGTTTGCATGGACATGGGCGCTTTGGAGCTGAGACATCAGGTTTACTGGGCACTATGCCAGGTTTCCTAACTACTCAACAGCTGTGCAGCCTTTCTCCTGACTTGCTGCAGTAGGTTTTACTTTGATGTTGCAAAGATAGTATTTCAGTGTTCCTGAACACAAACCTGGATTAATTCTGGAATGAGTCCGCTGACTGTAGAACTTAAGAGCGAGATTACTTCCCCCCCCCCCCCCACCCCACGCACCAC